TGTTGTCTCTCACATCAAAATCCAGCCACATATTTGTTTAGGTCTGTGCTTGATCTGTGCAGATTTCTCTCCTGATTCAGACCAGAACACTTTTTTACTGGAGGAAGCGTTATTATGGATTACTCTATGTATTTTAGTTAAAAACGTCTTAATGCTGGATTTGTCTCCGCTTTTGTCTTCTCCAGATGTTAACTGATGGACTGGAGTGCTGTGGATTACTTGTGGATTATTGTGATGTTTTTATCAGCTGTTTGGACTCTCATTCTGACGGCACCCATTCACTGCAGAGCATCCATTGCTGAGACACTGATGCAATGCTGCATTTCTACAAACCTGATGAAGAAACAAACTCATCCTGATCTGGGATGGCCAGAGGATGAGCACATTTACAACTGATGTTTATTTTTGGATAAAAAACTTTAATCTGATAGTCTCATGATATTATAAATATCAAACCTAACCAAATTGTTGTTGTCTTGTTGCTGTAGGTATGGCAGGAGCCATCCATTATCTCTCAGATGTCATCCAGCCTGAGGGTTCTCGATTCCCTGCTTTTGAACTTTGACCTGTGCGTTTGGAAGCATAGACTGTTGCTCCTTCATTAGGAGGTTCACATGCTTTCACAGTACAGTTACATCGCTCTGGATGGACCCTTTAAAATGAAGAAAACTATTTCTTCCTCATCATGGACGCGAAAAACCCAACCTTCAGCCTATAATTTCAAACAACGCCGCCTTGAGTTCGGTCTTCGTAGCTTGTAGTCTTTATCAGTATGTTGCTGTTTTTTGGACAATATTTAATGCTAATATATGGTTTTGTTTTAGTTTATATCTTTATATCTTACAGCACAGCAGTGTTTCTTGCATCTGCATGCTTGTTGGTGAATAGCAGAGCCTCTGTGATCGTCTGTGGCGCTCCGGAGCGTTTGCCCCATGCGAACGCAGTCTGCGTTGTCTTTGTCTTTGCATGAGGATGGCAACACGTGCTCATGTCGGAATGTGCCGGTGCCTTTCGGTAAATTAATCCAGTATCCAACACGGTGTGGTTGTCAAGTATATGCTGTGTGTATGTCAGTGTTTCGTTCCAGTCGCTGTTGGTAAATGTCTTGATAAAAGAAAGAATGACCTGCTCTGGTAAATATTGTTTCCTCAGGCAAAACGTGTTATGAATGTCACAATAAATTGGGCTTTTTCTGAACTGCTGAAAGTCTGTGCTGTCATTCAGCTGATGTACGAGTCTTCTCAAATCCGCAAAGAAATCGCAACATTTGAAATGAAGCCACCTGCAATCCAGTGTGATCAGGTAAGTAGCACAGTAAAATATTGCAGATAAAGTGTGTCAGATTGCAGTAGTGCGCTGGATCCTCCAACTGACCTGACAATACTGATTTCTCCATTTTAATCTATCTTCATTTTGATAAATCTATATTGATTCTTAAATCCCGAGATCTGCCATAGGCTATAAGGTCTGTGCTGTTGAATAAACACTAAACATTACTCCTAGCGCCTGCCATCCAGTGATCAGTCATTTTTGTGCTGATATAAAGCTTTTTCAGCTTTCAAATTCTGTCAGGTTTATTGCAAAATACAAACAATAAGAGCTTTGTTGCTCTTTAATGTGTAGTGACCGATCGCTTTAGCCTGCCTCATGATATGTATATATGTGTGGATACATATATAAACTATATATATTATAGTCTGTGTTACAAGGTTTTACACATGTAAAAATAAACTGTTTTTGTGAAGTTACCTTAATGGTGTACGCTCACATGAGATGACTGTACTTACAGTTTTCTATAAAAAGTGTTTTAATCATACAAAGCACTGTGTTGAAATGACGAGAATCCTTGCTAGCCATAATATTAGGCTTACAAAACGGCTTTACTTAATACAATCTGCAAATCTGCTAAGGCTAAAAACATCATAAATGATCAAACTCAAAAATATGGTATGGATATTGAGATAATGATGACACGGGAAGAGACATTTGTATGATATTCGAAGCTCTGTTGGTATTGAAAGAGAGATCAATTGAAAATCGAAGGGATCTCAGAAGAGGACACATACAGGACTCGACACACAATGCAATCATCCAGAATCTGTCCTCATTTTGATAAATCTATATTGATTCTTAAATCCCAAGATCTGCCATAGGCTATAAGGTCTGTGCTGTTGATGCGTGAAATAAACACTAAACATTACTCCTAGCGCCTGCCATCCAGTGATCAGTCATTTTTGTTGCTCTTTAATGTGTAGTGACCGATCGCTTTAGCCTGCCTCATGATATGTATATATGTGTGGATACATATATAAACTATATATATTATAGTCTGTGTTACAAGGTTTTACACATTTAAAAATAAACTGTTTTTGTGAAGTTACCTTAATGGTGTACGCTCACATGAGATGACTGTACTTACAGTTTTCTATAAAAAGTGTTTTAATCATACAAAGCACTGTGTTGAAATGACGAGAATCCTTGCTAGCCATAATATTAGGCTTACAAAACGGCTTTACTTAATGCAATCTGCAAATCTGCTAAGGCTAAAAACATCATAAATGATCAAACTCAAAAATATGGTATGGATATTGAGATAATGATGACACGGGAAGAGACATTTGTATGATATTCGAAGCTCTGTTGGTATTGAAAGAGAGATCAATTGAAAATCGAAGGGATCTCAGAAGAGGACACATACAGGACTCGACACACAATGCAATCATCCAGAATCTGTCCAACATCTGATAATGGTATGTTATGCATATGAAAAGGAAAGAAATTAATTGAAAGAAGTGTCTGAAATATTCAAACTAAACCTTACATTATTGACTTTTTCCCTGCCAAATCATCTGAGTCCAGTAGGTGGCGGTAAAGCACGCATAAGCTGGTTTGCCAGCCGCGAATAAAACCTAAGAAGCAGCGCTAAAATGATCGTTTTTTTCCAGCCGATATATCGAAAGAAGCATTATCTGTATGACCAAAAGAGCAAAAGCTCTGAAGACAAAGTCCCACAAACACAAAAAGCGAGAGCTAACATCGATCCGGGGTGGAAAGACCTGATGAAAATCCAGAGTAGTGACGCTAGAAGGACAGGTAAGAGAATTCCTTACTCTCTAAAACCAGTATCGGTGTAATTTGCATACACCTCAGTGACGATTATCACAATCACAGCGCTTCTAAGTTCACCCTTCCACAAATGAAGGTCTTAAACCGGAGTAGAAGTCTTAAATTCATTGTATTAATGTTGCATGCACTGCAAAAACTGAACATCTTCCACAGTATTTTTGTCTTGTTTTCAAATATCTAAACATCATTAAATCAAGATCACCTGAGATGCAAAATAAAGATATGAAGTCTTGTTGTCTGGGGAATTGAACAAATGTAAGTGAAGCTGCGTTTACACTGCAGATCTTAATGAACAGAGTTCACGCTTAAAACTAGATTAGGACTTGTTTCCCATTTAAGTTCATCTTTTTTTTTTTTTCCAATAAACACTTCATTTTGGTCAGTTTTTCAGAAAACAAGACGACTTATGTGTTATTTTTGCATCTAAGTTATTACAATTTTTAGGCACATTTTTAGACATTTGCACTGAGAAACGAGGCAAAATACAGAGGAAGAACAAGGTACAATAATAGTGTTTTTTTGTAAAATCAAAAAGCAGTGGATATCTGTTGGATTTTTGCATTTTTGAACATTGAAGTTTTGCTGATATAACTCGTGTTCTCCCTAGACAATTTACATTTAGAAAACATTTTGATGTATTGTGTTCCTCCCAATTTATTCCTCAAATTTTCTACTTAAAAATATCTCAAATTTTTTTTTTATAAATGTTAAATTTACCTTCATAAAACTTGCAGAAACCCTAGTGCAGTCAAACACCATGTATCACTTAAAGGTGGGGTAAGCGATTTTTCAAAAACGCTTTAGAAAACTGATTCGGGCCGAATCGCAAAACAAACTTGTAGCCAATCAGCAGTAAGGGGCGTGTCTACTCATGATGTGGAGGAGAGCGAGTTCAGTGCACAGGACGGACATTAGCGAGCCGAGCGACAGAAACATAGAGATGGCGGATAAAAAACAAAAGAGGAAAACGTCTGCGGAACAAAGGAAGGCTTAAGGCAAGAAGTAGGACCCGTGTAAATATCAGATCAGCTTTCCAGCGCTGGAGAGAACTCAAGGAGTGGAAGACCTGCGATAGGACGCCGAGGTTGCTTTGTTTCTTCTCGATCAGTGAGTAACACCGTGTCTGTGCCGCAACAGCTAAAGTCTGTCTAGTACACTGGACGCGACAAAGCGACAGTTGAAAATAATTTGAAGTTTGTGTCAATACGTCATAAATAGAACGCAGCAGCAGTTTTCTGTCGGGGATTTGTCGTGTCGTGCCGCGCCGCATCCAGTGTAGACCATAGATATGTATATATCTATGGTGTAGACAGCATCACTGATTATAATGAGTTCCATAGTATTTTGTCGCGCCGCGCCACTCGCGTCCGGTGTAGACACGGTGTAACACTGGTTTTGCTTTGTTTCACAGAACTAACCGTTGCCTGGGTTGCGTAAGTGTGTGGGGCGGAGCTATCAAAATAGGGGCGAGACCCTTTTGGGGTAGGGGCGTGTTTGTTTTGGTGATTTCAAATGTCAACATTGGCTACCAGAAATCGCTTACCCCACCTTTAAGGATACATTGGATACATTGTATTTGTTTTGCCACCTTTTATTTATGCAAATTTAAAGTTAAAAATAAATAAATAAAGTGTTTTCCCCACAAATTAAATGCAAAATATTTACAATAAATGTTTAATTTCATTTACCTGACCAATCAGTAATTAGAATATAGTAAAACATGAAACTAGACAGAGTCTGTCAAAATAAAAGTCCTATATTACTATGTTGATACCTATACTGTATATTTTAAGGATACTTTAAATTTAATTCAATTTTCAAATTACTTATACATCATATCGCGCCGCGCCACTCTCGTCCAGTGTAGACAGTGTAACATTGGTTTTGCTTTGTTTCACAGAACTAATCGTTGCCTGGCTTGTGTGCGTATGTGTGGGGCGGAGCTATCAAAATAGGGGCGAGACCCTTTTGGGGTAGGGGCGTGTTTGTTTTGGTGATTTCAAATATCAACATTGGCTACCAGAAATCACTTACCCCACCTTTAAAGAGATAGTTCAAAATGAAAATTTGTTGTATATAATGTTCAGTTTCTTGCACAGACTGATCGTTTCGTTTCATAAGACCTCAATATATCATCCAGAGCTACGGGTATTAATTTAATGTTGCCTGATATGCTTTTTTAATTCTTAAAGTTGCTGACTTGCATTTTATGAATCACCAAGGACCATGTTTTCAGCTAAAAATCTTCTTTACTGTTCTAATGAAAAACAAAAGTCCGCTACATCTCGGATGGCCTGAGGGTGCACATTATCAGCACATTTTCATTTTTGGGTGCGCTATCTACTTTAAAATACAGTGATTAAAGAATTACATTTCAGTAAAAACACTTTCAGCAGATGAATAGCATTACAGAGAGAAGATCGTTTTAATGTACAGAAATAGTGAACTACAGATGAGAGAAATCAATGGGAAAGGTGCATTGTGTAAAGGTTCTGTCTTATACTGTGTGAAATAAGCCTGCAGTGATGTGAGACGAGGTCACCGGCTGCGTGCTCGTTACGTAAATGTGTAATTGTGTTCAGTGTGGAGTTCAGCTTCAGTGCGTCATGATGAACGCTCGCTCGGTGAAGGGTTAGTAACTGTTCAGACTCATTATTCAAGCGAGCACAAACACATCTCATTTACAAAATGTAAGTTAGATTATTATAGTGCCACCCAGTTCATCCAGCTCTATAACACCACATATAGGGTGAATTCAGGTTAATTGGGACATTTGTTTCCCCAGTCATCTCAAATGGCAAAAAGACTCCCAATTTACCTGAATTCACCCCTGTGTAAAAAAGAAAAGTATAACACATCCCAGTTCTTGGATCCAGTGTGCACAAAATGTGGATTCTCCTGACAGGAACTTGATTGGTTTGGCAGATATGAGCCAATGAGAAGTTTGGGTGTGGTTCATATTAGCTAATAGAACACACACTTTTTCACAATTATTTGTTACATTCATTTTCCCAGTAAGGGTTTAAACAAAATATTCAGAGTTCTAAACCATGAACCAAATTTGAAAAAAAAAAATGACCTCAATAAATCAATGACCTTTTCACCTAAGATTCGGAGCCGGGTTACAGATGACTTCAGAAAGATGGCAGCATCATGATCTTATGTTTACACAGAGATTGGTAGCTCTAGTAAAATCTGTTGACTTTAGCAATCGTTGCTGCATTATATGCCAGTGGTGACCGTTCAAAAATGGGAAAAGGCACTTTTCAAGTTTTCTTTCTTCAAAGTTTGCAGGCCTGTAACTCAAGTAGTATTGAAGATCTCTTGATGGCCTTTTCGATTTTCGGTCTTAAACTTTTTTTTGGTATCTTTTTTTCTTTTAAAGAGGAATGTCTGAAGAACAAATAATGTTGAAACTATAAATGTGTCTTGTTTCCCTCAAAATAATTGCATTGAACACACCTGCCCGAGTGCCATAAATATAATTTTTTCAACGGTACTTTGCCTGTACCTCAATAATATTATTTTAGATTCTGATTTTTAAGGCCCTGTATGGTTCAGTCCCAGAGACGTGGGGAGCACAATGCCACTCAATGTCCAATTTGTTGAATATTACCCATTTTCAATGGTTTAAAACCAAATGTTTGCTTCTTCTTTATTAATCAATCTAATATTTCTTCTTCATTTATGTATATTTTCCCCATAAAAAAATCTTAACATAATCAAAAATTTGAGCTAAGGGCCTTGAGCTGGTTGAGTCGACACAGAATGACCCATAAGTGTTCAAAAGTTTGGGTCTAGTAAGTTTATTTATTTATTTTTATTTTTTAATAATACTTGAATGCAGCAAGGATGCATTGAAGACATGCAAAATATTTTCATTGATAATAATGGCAGTAATCACAGGAATAAATTACATTTCAAAATATATTACAATAGAAAATATTTATTTTAATACTATTCTAATATTTCAAAATATTTCAGTTTTTACTGTATTTTTGATCAAGTAAATGCAGCCTTGGTGGGCCTTCTTTCAAAAAGTACCCCAAACTTTTAAATGGAAGCGTATATAAAAGTATCCAATGCATACAAATATGTACATTGTTTGTGAATGTAATCTTCATGAAGGTGATCTGTAATTGCAGAGCTCTTTTGGTGCAGTTTTGGTTGCAATTTTTCAGTGTTAGGGGGCGCTATAATAAAAAAACCTCACAAACGTGGTAAAGGAAGTTGAATTTTGCCACTACAGGACAACATAGCTTGTCAGTTGTGGTTGTTTTCTCCCATTATGTCTTCATTAAATAATTTGTGACTACATTAGCATAATTGTGATTACATTTCAACATGAGATGATTGTGTGCTTTTTTTAAAGGGGTTCTATTATGCTTTTTCACTTTTTCAACTTTAGTTAGTTTGTAATGTTGCTGTTTGAGCATAAAAAAGATCTGCGAAGTTACAAAGCTCAAAGTCCACTTCAAAAGGAGATATTTTATTTAACAGAAATCACTTTTCAAAAACTACAACGAATGACTCGTTTGGACTACAACGCATATTTTCCGGGATTTGTGATATCACAAATGCCGACGAATGGGACGAGACCTGGTTGAGCTGCACTAGAGAAGGCAACGAGTGTTATCACTATGTCGGAGACACGCTAGCTTTCCCAAGGCAGATGAACTTAGAGTGGTTACAATCATCCGGGTTTAAATCGCGCTCAAATTTATTTGATATTGACGCAGTATTTGCACTGAAGCTCGCAGGTGGCTATGGTAAGGGGCATGACATTTCCCGACCAGGTGCTGAGTGCTGCCAATCACAACACACACTGGCCCAGCTAACCAATCACAACACACACTGGCCCAGCTAACCAATCACAGCACACACTGGCCCAGCTAACCAATCACAGCACACACTGGCCCAGCTAACCAATCACAGCACACACTGGCCCAGCTAACCAATCACAGCACACACCGGCCCAGCTAACCAATCACAGCACACACCGGCCCAGCTAACCAATCACAGCACACACCGGCCCAGCTAACCAATCACAGCACACACTGGCCCAGCTAACCAATCACAGCACACACTGGCCCAGCTAACCAATCACAACACACACTGGCCCAGCTATAGAGTGGTTACAATCATCCGGGTTTAAATCACGCTCAAATTGATTTGATTTTGACGCAATATTTACACTGAAGCTCGCAGGCGGCTATGGTAAGGGGCATGGCATTTCCCAACCAGGCGCCGAGTAGAGCCAATCACAGCACACACTGACCCAGCTAACCAATCGCAGCACACACTGGCCCAGCTAACCAATCACAGCACACACTGGCCCAGCTAACCAATCACAACACACACTGGCCGCTCCAAGATGAATCATCTGCTGCAGAACTCTTATACAAGAATTGTTTCGATTTAAGCAACCAAGAAAAGATAGGTCTAATTAAACTAAAAGCTATTCATTTGATGTTATGCTAATTCTAGAGGCTTGTTCCAGTAAAATGCCATGACTGTGCAAGTAAACACTTACAAAGCTACAAGTAGCCTAAAATTAGCAAGAGCTGTCCAATACCTGAACACATAACAAACACAGACACACGAGCAAGCATAGCAAAAGTCTCAAACAGAGGGAACTTTATTATTGTAGTTCATGATTTTCTGACATCAAGAGCGCTTCACTATGAACGGTTGCTGGTGTGTCAGTGACAGTGCAGTTACTCAACAGAGCCGTGTAATCATCCATGTGTCACTCCAAATCCAGAGGCAGATGTTTGACACTGTACAATTTCACAGCTGTCCTCGACACCCTGAAGTGGGTGTGATTTGAACATCTCTTCAACCACGCGTTCAGGAGAGTAAAACAAAACCCCAACTGATCTGAACAGTAAAACAAACTCCAACATTAGCGCACTTTGCATAGTTCAACCTCAAACGAAACCATGAACAATGTACCACAACTACAAAAACAACACTTTCAAAACAGGTTTTGAATGTACTTGAAATATACCCAAACCTATTGATGCTTTGCGTGTTTTTCAGTCAATATTAGGTCTCATCAGGAGTTCAATAATGTGTGTAAATAATGCAATGAATGTACTTTCATATCTAGTCTGTGGAGTTTTGTGTTAACGTTTTCATCCCAAAGGAGCATTCTGTTCACAGTCACAACATCAAGAATAGGAACCAGCCAGCATTCAATATACTAATCGTACGAATCAAGTATGCAAAATATGTAACTTTAAAGTCTTTTTTTTTCCCACACTCTGTTCCAAACAATTCACATGTTGAATTAATATTAAGTACATTTAAATAAAAACTTCAGGATCACATTCACATTTACTAGAAATGGTCTCCAAATCAGTCTAATTTGATATATATATTTTCAAATGGTGCTTGTTGGTGAATGTTATGAAGACTATGTGTAGGTCATATTTCACCTCAAAAACAGAACAGAAAAAAAAGCAATATTCTTAATAATATTCTTAATGTTCTTAATGGACTTAATTGTAATCACAAAAAAAGGTTCCTTAATAGTCCTAAAAATATGCTAAATTTTCTGCAAATTATAATTTAGTTTTAGTTTAATTTAATTCAGGGTTTAAATGTGAAAAAGACATTTCTCAACCATTTTCCAAACCAGCGTTGGCAATACACATGTGGCTGTTTGCTTCACATTTGATCCTTTTCTGTGCTAATGAAGAGGCCTAAAACTAATCAGCGTTGTTTTCAAGCAGGTGTTGTGGTAAATGCATCACTCCCTCCAAATAACTCAGCTGTATTTCTCATTGGGCCAGACATTTAACCCAAAACGAGCTTTTGCAATTTTCTGGCCCATCCACAAAAACAGGACACTATGGGTGTGATGAAGCAGAAAAGATGTGAATACATTTCTCTTTCGCTTGCTGTGGCTTCAATAGACTCACTCCATGTGAGTTCATCATCTATTTCAGATTAATACCCATACAAGAGTTTATTGACCCATTAAACCACTGGGATTGGAACAAAAGAACAGACAAACTCCTGTTTGTATGGAAGCCTGTTTCTGCCACTAACGCTAAAAAAAATTTTTTTTTTAACTTTTTATCTCACAATTCAGACATTTTCTCAGAATTGTGATATCAACTCACATTTGTGAGAAATAAAGTCAGAATTGCAAAATATAAACTCACAATTCTGACTTTTCTTGCAAGTTGAACTTTTTTTTTTTTTACAATTGCGAGTTTATATCTTGCATTTCTGATTTCTTGTCTCAGAATTGTTAGATATAAACTTGCAATTGCAAGTTATTCTGACAAAAAAGTATTTTCTTACAAAACATTCTTAAAAAAAAAAAAAGTCAGAATTAAACTTGCAGTTGCAAAATAAAAATTCAGAATTGCGAGATAAAGTCACAATTACCTTTTTCATTGTTATTCAGTGGCATAAACAGGCTTCCACATGTTTGAGAGGCTCAGGTAGCATGATATTCACTGGCTGCAGTATGATAAAACGCACAATCGGTCTACAGTACGAAACTCCTGCTGTCTGGGTTCTGAAGTGCGGTCGGCCTCAGGATGGATGTCGTGTGTTTTCCACAGATATTCATCCTGTTCTCCAGAAGCTCAGCGGGTTGCTTCCACCTTGTCGACCTTCCAAGGTCCACCCCAGCCCCTCAAGACCCACTTCTCAAAGAAAGGGAGTCGAGACTCTCAGTATCTCCTGCGCTTTGCATCCCGACAGCTTCTTCAAAGCTCTGTCCCATCCGGACCTTTGTTCTTTTTGTTGCCCCTCCATAGCGCGCCAATCAAACGATAAACAAACTGGGAACTGGGAAAGAGCATCCTGAAAGCACGCAAATAAAAGCAGAGTTTCCCGAGAGCGTCAGCGGCGTCTCTCACTGCGAGGATTCGCTGTGGCTCTTCTTCTCGGCGTTCCTGAAGACTTGTTCGTACGAGGGTGGCGGATGATTGCAGTAGGAGGGCGGCGGCGGGTACGAGCTCATCATGTGTGCTGGGGTCGTCTGACCCGGGGTCAGGGCCGTCGTCATGGCGCCGCAGGGGTCACCGTAGCCTTGCATGCCCGGCTGCTGGGAGACTGTTGGAGAAACAATGAATGAAATCATGTCAAGGTTTATTGATGTATAAAATGTCAACATGCTGTTACTGGAATACTGCTGGGCTGCTGGGAAGCTGATATAACTCCTACTAAATTACGAAAACAATTTGTAAAAAAATATATATTTTTATTTATTTTAACAAATGTATTAAAATGTATAAATATTTTATATATATTCATATATTTCTATTTATATTTCAGTCAGGTTTCATATATTTATTAACAGACACACTTGTTTATATATATATATATATACTGTATATATTTTTTAATACCACCCCCCCCCCAAAACGTTCCCTCTCTCTGTTCCTGAACTAACGACCTCCACCCAGTGCTATTTTACTATAAATTATGCTATTATAATTTTAAATTTTATTTAGTTTTCGTTTAATTTTAGTTAAAGTTTTAGTAATTTGTTGTGTTTTTAGTATGTTTTATATGTGACCCTGGAGCAAAAAACCAGTCATAAGGGTCAATTTTTTAAAATTTAGATTTATACATGCATTATATATACATAAACTAAATAATCTTTCCATTGATGTATGGTTTGTTAGGATAGCACAATATTTGGTCGAGATACAACTATTTGAAAATCTGGAATCTGAGGGTGCAAAAAAATCTAAATATTGAGAAAATCATCTTTAAAGTTGTTCAAATGAAGTTCTTAGCAATGCATATTACTAATCAAAAATTAAGTTTTGATATATTTACGGTAGGAGATTTACAAAATATCTTCATGGAACATGATCTATACTTAATATCCTAATGATTTTTGGCATAAAAGAAACATTGATAATTTTGCACCATACAATGTATTGTTGGCTATTGCTACAAATATACCCCAGCGACTTAACACTGCTTTTGTGCTCCAGGGTCACATATATAGTTTTTCTATTTCTATATAGTTTTATAAATGTCTATTTTAGTTTTAGCTGTATTTATTTTAATAGAAGTTAAACAAACATGCCTCTGCTTTAGCTTGTTTAATAATAATCTAGTTTTTACTAAAAGCTGGCATGCACACTGAATATGACAGGTTGCTTGTGAGGTTCCTCATTTGTAAATTGCTTTGGTTAAAAGCATCTGCAAAATTAATTACAAATATATGTTTTAAAGGGGTCATATGATGCTGCTAAAAATAACATTATTTTGTGTATTTGGTGTAATGAAATGTGTTTATGCGGTTTAAAGTAAAAAAACCACATTATTTTCCACATACTGTACATTATTGTTTCTCCTCTATGCCCCGCCTTTCTGAAACGCGTCGATTTTTACAAACCTCATTGGTCTGAAAAGCGAGGTATGCTCTGATTGGCCAGCTATCCAGAGCGTTGTGATTGGCCGAATACCTCAAACGTGAGACGGAAATGTTACGCCCCTCACCATACTGTGAGGAACAATTGAAATCGCATCATATGACCCCTTTAAATATTTTTAATATGCATCACAGTTCAAAAGTTTGGGGTTAAGTTGTCGTTTTTTCTCTCTCTTCTGTTCACCAAGGCTGCATTTATTTTATCAAAAAATATAAACAGTAATATTGTGAAATATTATTACAACTACCTTAGTTTTATTATAGACTTTCTTTTACTTCTGTGGCAGATTTTTGAGTATGTCTGTATTTTCATAGTCCGTCTTGATAAAGATGATGGCTTGTGCTAGTCTAATGTATGTCTAATGTCTAATGCGTCTCAAAGGAGGACAAACTACAATAATCTGACATCAGTGTTTAACCAGATACAACTCACTCCTGTGTGCTGGAGCAAGAGAGGTAAAGGCTTCTGTACCATTGTAGAGTACCCCCTTTCTTATTTAATGGCAGATTTACAGATAACTTTTTAGAGCTTTATATTATGTTTTCAAATGCAATATATCATACAGATTAAGTGCAACTGCAAGAAACTAGACCTCCAGCAGTTCTGGGTACTCTGATTCAGTCTCATATTGATGCCAGTTAGGTTTGGTTTTCTTCTTAAAATGGAGCACAATTGAAGCACTTTGTTTTTCAGTTTCACTATCTACTGTAAGATAAATGAGAGGGAGCTTCTCCTTTTTCATGTTAATTTGTCCTCTGAACAAAACTATTTAAGAAATAAAAACCAAGCAATTCCAGTCTTCAGATTCTCAATTTTCCACCCAAGCAGCAAATATAATGACTCGCTTCATTTTCCCTCAGTACAGAGAGTTTAGAGAGCCAAACTAAAGTCATCTATTTTCCTATGTTTTAGTGGTTGGAAACAGTTTATTATGAAACTATATAATTGTACAGCAATGTTTTGAAATATATAATCGGTTCACCTCTTTGCTTTCAATAAGCAACAGGATTGAATTTGTATGAAGACTGAAGTCATCTGTAAACTATGTAACATTATTTAACATGCTGTCTGATCATTTTGACTTATTCCTCATGTAAAAATGTATGCAAATTACACATTCATAATAAAAGCCTAGCAGGAAAGTGTGCAACGATGCAAATAAACTTTTAAATGTGCAACTGTCACATTGTTTACATTGACTACGAAACTCGTAATCTTGAGCGCAAATAGAGAAAAACTCTTTTTTTAGAATTGCGTGGAAAAACAGCATGTTCTAAAGTATGTGCCAGGTATATCTGCAAACTTACCAAAAATAACCAAAACAATCCAATTATTTAGCACAGTGGCTGGATTAGCAAATAATCACCCTAACTAAATATTCCCTCACAGTTTAATAGTAATGACTTTATGAATTTATCTAAATGGGGAGTCATCTCAATTAATGCCAGTAAAGTACGGAGTGCCACAAGGATCTGTCCTAGGTCCTCTGCTATTTTCAATATACATGTTGCACCTTGGTAATATTATTAGAAACTTGTATCGTAAAAAGCACTAGATAATAAATGTGAAATCACGAGCTTTATTATCAAAGCTTTTAACTCTATCAAAGCAGCCAACTATAACCTGGTTACTTTCACTTGGTATCCATGCCACATCACAGCTCAAGTACCAAGTATGAGCTTGGCATTTCTGCTTTTGACTCTGACGCTTGTCTTCTAGGGTTCTGTGCATTAGTGTTAGCTGGTTTTGCAAACTGAGAAAATAACTGATTATTCCTTTAAAGATCCAAATTACACCCTTATTTTGCTGCCAACCGAAGCAACAATTGATATGATGGAGTGTGACGCATCGAATGCATGAAAACATCGAGCAGCACCATGCACCAGCTTACAAAATAGGTTGTCGGAAACGCTGTTTACTCTATCTATTGAAAACAGCAGGGCGTTGCTGGCCATATGTTGGCAACGTATCTGCTCACACACCAGAATGGCTCATTTGCAATTTTCTGCAACTTTGGCACAGAGATGGGAAATAAATCAAGTCTGTGGTGAAGTGCCAACCTTGGCTCCAAGCGAGAGCCGACTAATAATAACTGCCTGTTACAGACTGTAATAGTGAGCAAGAATTCGGTTAAAGGACAAATTGTGAGATGAGGGACATATTTTATAGCAGCAGCAGCATCATAATCAGGGAGAGGTGTGTCCTGTCACAGCTTCCCAATACAACATCAGGCTCCGTTCCAAACCTACTGATCTGTTTACACTGAAACACTCTACCATATGTAGCAATTAGAATTAATGATTTAAAAAAACAACACTCCTCCACAAGACTCCAAAAACACTCACAGAGGCTGCAGTTAGCAAAAAAAAATACAGTGTGCGCAAAAGCTGGGTGAAATGTTTTAATATTTTTAAATCAATTATGTAGTCAACATCTTAATTTAGCATTCACAGTTTGGGGTTAAGTTTTTTTTTTTTTTTTTTAAACTAATACTTTTATTGATCAAGGATGCACTAAATTGATCAAAAGTGCCAGTAAAGACAATTATAATGTTCCAAAAGATTTCTATTTTTAAATAAATGCTGTTCTTTTCAACTTTCTATTCATCTGTGAATCCTGAAAAATAACATGTATCACGGTTTCCACAAAAATATTGTGCAGCACAACTGTTTTCAACATTGATAATAATCAGAAATGTTTCTTGAGCAGCAAATCAGCATATTAGAATGATTTCTGAAGATCATGTGACACTGAAGACTGGAGTAATGATGCTGAAAATACAGCTGCGCATCACAGAAATAAATTACAGTTTAACAGATATTCACACAGAAAACAGCTTGAAATTGTAAAAATATTTCACTGTTTTTACTGTATTTGGGATCAAATAAATGCAGCCTTGGTGAGCAAAAGAGACATTTTTTTGTAAACATTTAAAAATCTTACAACGTCCAATCCTAAACGTTTGAATGGAAGTGTAAATATATTAAGTATTTTAATTATATATATATATATATATATATATATATATATACACACATACACATATACACACACACTCACACACACACACACACACACACACAC